AATAAACTAACATTCCTATCGTCGAGGTGAGAGAAAAGTAGGCATGCGACAAACGCCGCGGCGCGCTCAAAGGCAAGTTGAAACAGGTTCAGACAAGTATACGCTTGACGAAGTAGTTTCCGCCGATATCGAGCACCGCGGATCGTGATTCAAAAAACCGGTTTATTTTGTTTACAGAACAAAATGTATTCCGGTTTTGTTCTGAACATAACGTTAACACAAAACCGTTATTAACCTTTATTAACCGTTATTTTTCAAACCGGTTCCGGGCCTTGGTTTACACACATTTAAGTGACTATAAATGTGAATAAGCGTAGGAAAAGAAATAAATATTACTTAAGTGGTAAAACAAAGCGAGTTTATCGCAAGAACGCTCCTCGAATGTGGTACGTTCCACTTTGAGGTTATATTTTTTGTATGGTACTTTTTTGTTGGAGGCTGCCTAATAGGATGGATTTTTACTAATTTACATTAGCAAAACTGATTATTTATACGTTTCTGCGTGATGAAGTGAGAAACTCTAAAAATTTAAATATCACGACCGAGTTGGAAAATAATGTACAGAGTAGTGCAAGCACAGAGACCGCAAACAATGTTATAGTCAATGTATTGTCCGAAAGTATGGCGTAAGTACATAATTAAGAAAACCCGACATACTACGGGTATTAAGTGATTGACCGGTCGAAGTAGTCTTGTGAGAATTTACACATACAGTACCTACCCCTACTATTGGCAAAACAGGGAATTTTTAATTTTTTTTCTTTTTTATTTATGCAATTTGCATTACGGCATCTTGTAAAACTCACAAGAACAAATAGTTTACAATTAAGGAGGCGTTTACAAAATTGATAGGTATAGAATCGCACTACTACATTGACAAAAGTCACACACACACTAGTGTACGCACGGTTGGCTGTGGGAATCGTAGTCAAATGAAATTATTTTGATAATTTGAAAGATTGAATTTGTTTTTCATTTCTTATACCTACCTCAGAAATATACTTCGATACGAAATACGAATACCTGCTCCAGAGACTGCTTGGCACTGGAAGCCCTCTACTGGTAGTGAGATGTTAGCTCTGGACTTTGAACTGGTTTTGTTAGTTATAATAAGACCTTACCTACCTGCGGACTTGATGGAGTGACCTGAAGGTGTAATTTGGTGATTACAACAGGAACTCCTACACTAGTGGAACTGGGTGTGTCGAGTTTGGGTTCGTTTTGTTGGTTATGATGAGACCTTACCTCCGGACTTGATGGAGTGACCTGAAGGTGTAATTCGGTGATTACAAGTGGAACTCCTAGACTAGTAGAACTAGGTGTGCCGAGTTTGGGTTCGTTTTGTTAGTTATGATGAGACCTTACCACCTGCGGACTTGATGGAGTGACCCGAAGGGGGTAATTCAGTAACTACTGCTGGAATTTCTGAACGAGTAGAACTAGGTGTGCCGAATTTGGGCTCCGTTTTGTTAGTTATGACGAGTCCATACCTCCGGACTTGATGTAGTGACCTGAAGGTGTAAATCGGTGATGGCAACTGGAACTCCTAGACTGGTAGAACTAGGTGTGCCGAGTTTGGGTTCGTTTTGTAGGTTATGATGAGACCTTACCACCGGACTTGATGGAGTGACCTGAAGGGGTAATTCAGTAACTACTGCTGGAATTTCTGAACGAGTAGAACTAGGTGTGCCGAATTTGGGCTCCGTTTTGTTAGTTATGACGAGTCCATTCCTCCGGACTTGATGGAGTGACCTGAAGGTGTAAATCGGTGATGGCAACTGGAACTCCTAGACTGGTAGAACTAGGTGTGCCGAGTTTGGGTTCGTTTTGTAGGTTATGATGAGACCTTACCACCGGACTTGATGGAGTGACCTGAAGGTGTAGTTCGGTGATTACAAGTGGAACTCCTAGACTTGTAGGACTAGGTGTGCCGAGTTTGGGTTCGTTTTGTTAGTTATGATGAGACCTTACCAACAGACTTGATGGAGTGACCTGAAGGGGTAATTCAGTAACTACTGCTGGTATTTCTGAACCAGTAGAACTAGGTGTGCCGAATTTCACTCTATCAAGTCCGGTGGTAAGGTCTTATCGTAACTAACAAAACGAAACCAAACTCGTCACACCTAGTTCTACTAGTCTAGGAGTTCCATTTGTAACCACCTGATTACACCTTCAGGTCATTCAATCAAGTACGGTGGTAAGGTCTCATCGTAACTAACAAAACGAACCCAAACTCGGCACACCTAGTTCTACAAGTCTAGGAGTTCCACATGTAATCACTGAACTACACCTTCAGGTCACTCCATCAAGTCCGGTGGTAAGGTCTCATCATAACCTACAAAACGAACCCAAACTCGGCACACCTAGTTCTACCAGTCTAGGAGTTCCAGTTGCAATCACCGATTTACACCTTCAGGTCACTCCATCAAGTCCGGAGGTATGGACTCGTCATAACTAACAAAACGAGCCCAAATTCGGCACACCTAGTTCTACTCGTTCAGAAATTTCAGCAGTAGTTACTGAATTACCCCTTCAGGTCACTCCATCAAGTCTGGTGGTAAGGTCTCATCATAACTAACAAAACGAACCCAAACTCGGCACACCTAGTCCTACAACTCTAGGAATTCCACTTGTAATCACCGAACTACACCTTCAGGTCACTCCATCAAGTCCGGTGGTAAAGTCTCATCATAACCTACAAAACGAACCCAAACTCGGCACACCTAGTTCTACCAGTCTAGGAGTTCCAGTTGCAATCACCGATTTACACCTTCAGGTCACTCCATCAAGTCCGGAGGTATGGACTCGTCATAACTAACAAAACGGAGCCCAAATTCGCCACCCCTAGTTTTACTCTGCAAGAAGTTCAAATAGCGGTCACGAAAGTACACCTTCAGGTCACGCCATCAAGTCCGGAGGTAAGGTCTCATCATAACCAACAAAACGAGCCCAAACTCGGCAAACCTAGTTCCGCTCGTCCAGGAGTTGCAGTAGTAGGTAAGTTTATATATCCTACTTATTTTTAGCAAAATAAAAAACTGTGAGTATAAAAATAATAATTTTATCACTTGTCAAGTACTTATGTTTCCAATTTGTTTTTTTTTTCTAATATTTTGTGTATGTACAGCGATCTTTTCAGAATGAGCCGCTGCAAACAGGCAATACAGTGTCCACTCACGACGGCGGCCAAGCGCGGACTGTGGTTTCATCGAAATCTTTGTACAATAAATCAAAGCAGGCACCAACAATAAAATAGCCCTTATTGCAATAGATTATGATTTATCCGTATTAGCAAAATATGTGAAAAAATGTGCATCAGTTTTTATTTTTTCTACGACTATTTGTGACATTTTGATAAAAATAAACACAGGGTTTTTTAATTGAATATGTCTGTTATCTTATAGTATTTTTTAAATTTTTTAAATATGTTGGTAATAGACGAAAACATGTACCGAAACACAAGCCGGTATCGTTAATTTTGTAGAAAATGGCAACGAAAGTTCGTTTTTACAATATAAAAAACTACTATTTCCAACAAAAGAGTTACAGGCGTTTGCAGATGAAGAACCAATCTATACATGGTAGTTTTTACTTATATTTGATTTGGTTTAGTTTTGTCACAAAATCTCCCGAAAAACACCCTAATTTTGGTTGATTTGTAAACGCGTCCTTAAGTTACGTGAAGTATTTTACGTACGATGCACCAATTTAGGAAAAAAAGTCGATGTCAATTCAACAATTTTTCTTTTCAGAATAACTTTACTTTACAGAACTTATAATCTGTACTAATATTATAAATAGGAATGATTATTATTTTTATATATTTGTAACGAATAAAGTACAGAATTTATAATCTGTAGGAACTATTATTATAAATAAGAAACATTTAATTAAGAAGTAATCTACGGCGTCCACTTCCACGGCGAAAGAGAGGCCTCCCCCAAGAAGTTGCTTACATCAACTTCTTGCATCTTTATTAAAATATACACCACAGAATGCCAGCGTAAAATAGTAGCTTAATGCTGCCGCGTTTCGTATGATAGGTGTGGAAAAAAGGAGACCCTTTTTACTGGAAACGAGGCATTTTTCATTTTAGTCTCTGCATTTTGATTCGTAATCGAGGATAGATATATTGTCTATGGGCCACAGCAACCACTTATAACCATCAGGTGGACTGTGTGCTCGTTTGTCACCCCATCCTATAAGAAAAAAAGATGCAGGCAGAGCAAGAAAGCTAAAGAAAAGGATATTTATACATTTCAAGAAAATTTACTGTTTCACAAATTTAATGTTTCACAGATTTAACGCTTTGGCGCAAGTATTAATATTATTAGTTTATATATACTTTATTTCCTTGGATAATTCTTTTTAATAGTCGAATACGTAAATATAATATTGGCACAAAACTTGTTAAATATCACTATTTCCTGGAAGAAGTATATTTTTATAGATTCTCATTTTCTCTAAAATTATTAAGTATACTTAATAAAATTCGGAAGAAAAGCACTCCATAACTCTGAAGCGAACATATTTTTAACGACATATCTCTTTCTCCTTTACTCCAAATATGACTTCTTACCTTAAGTGTGGATGGATTAAAGTAAATAGTTCGAAATCGGGCAGCACAGAACAGGTACTATATTACGCTGGTGGTCTGAAAAGTTTGCGACCTCAACGTGAAGATGGCAGCACTCGTCAATAAAAGGTAGTGAATGTAGTTCAGCATCTTTTGACAGTTACGCACCAAAATTTCAGCTATATTTGACTAACAGTTGTTATTTGACAGTCAATTATGTGAGTCGATGTGTTTTTGTGAAAATGAAAAAATTTTGTATTAAGCTGACATTTACGCATCTCATCTAATTTTTGCGCCCGAAGAACAGATTTTCGTCATATGTAGAGGCATCTTCGTGAACTACTTTGCATAGAAAAACGCCGAGTTCTTTTTGGACGGATTAAAGAGATGGGAGCATCGCTGAGAAAAGTGTATAGAGTTAAACATGAGAAGCGGTGGTGCTTGGAATGTCGATAGCGGCCCTATTGGGTTAACTTTGAGCCATAATAACACATCGGACGGAGACGACTTACAACAGTTTCGTAATAGTGTGCAAAGCAACTGTGAAAACGATGTAATAAATTGTAATGATGACGTCATAGTATGCACGACATTATCTCCTGAGATGGGCAATAAGCATGCATCGAGTACGGCGGTGGTGCCTGCACCAGGCAAGGTGGAGCGAGTGGCGGTGGCGAGCAGCTGTGAGTGCAGAGAGGAGGTTCGAGTTTCACCGTTACCTCCAAGTGCTGGCCCAAGTACGTCTACACAAATATTATCTGCGCCCGTATCTAACCTAAGGCAGAAAGGTCAAGAGACGTCGAATATTCAATCCTGTCATGAAAACAAAGTGATTAATGACTGGCAAATGGTAAATAAGCGTAAGACGAAGCCGAGATATAGGTATTTGGGCGAAAAAGGAAAAGCAGAAGCGTCTGTTTCATCGTTTAAAGCCGCTGATAAGAACATGCCTATTTTCATAACCAATGTACACCTTGATACCGTGGAGTCTGACATTGTTGATTACATAAGGGCGAAAACACAAGTAAGAGTGACATTGGAGAAAATAAATATGAAGAAAGCAATAAATCATAAAGCCTATAAATTCCTGGTGCCGGAGTCGAAAGTTTCTATATTTTTAGATGAGAAAATATGGCCGGAGGGGATAATATTTAGGCGATTTGTGCATTTTAAAAATAGACGAGCTGACACAGTGAAGTCAGCAGGCGGCCCTTTGACCTCTAGGAATGGATAGTACGACCTACAAGTTTGCTACTTATAATTGTAAAAACGTCAAGAGGGCGGTCAGCGATGTCTGTCAATTATGTGATGAGTGCGTGGTGATAGCGCTGCAGGAGACGTGGCTGCTGCCAGATGAACTGGCATTTTTAAGTAGCATAGATAGCAGATTCAGCAGCACCGGGACGTCGGCTGTGGATACGGCAGCAGGGTTATTACGCGGAAGACCGTACGGAGGGACAGCGCTGCTGTGGAATACCACTGTGTTTCCTAGTGTTACGGTAATAAGTTGCGATAATCCGAGAGTGAGTGCTATACGTGTCGTCACGACAGTGAGTCCGTTTATTGTGGTGTCTGTGTACATGCCGGTCAATAAATTAGACAACCTGCCTGTATTCACGGCCTGCTTGGGAACTGTAAGTGCTATCAGTAATGAATATAGTAACGAACCTATTTACGTGTTAGGGGATTTTAACGCTCATCCGAATGAATTATTTTTTAAGGAACTAAAAAGTATATGTAATGAGTTTGTATGGGTACCTGTAGATATAAAAATGTTGGGATTGACTTCTGATACTTTTACCTACATAGATCTAGCTAGTGGGTCAAAGCATTGGTTGGATCATTGTGTGTTGTCGCAATCAGCGGAGTCCTCTGTGGGCAGTGTGTATGTCAAGTATGACATACTATGGTCGGATCATTTTCCTGTTATTTGTGAATGTAATTTGGGATGCCTGACTCCTATTAAAATTACTCCTATTAATACTGTTAATAAATTGGTTTGGGGGGAAAGAACATCAGACCAAATTTCTTTTTATAGAACTGAATGTCATAAACGTCTTAGGTTGAGAGATTTTCCGTCTGAATTTGTAAAATGTGCGGATAAATATTGCAATGACCCAAAACACCTAGTTATCGTCGATAAATTGTACTCTGACATCGTGCTCGCCTTATCACAAGCCGCCGCGGAGGGCCGGGGGGGGCGAGCGGAAGCAGAGTAAGCTGGATTGCCGCGCTAAATATATTGCTGGCTGGAATAAACATGTCAGTGACAGTCACGGGAGGGCCAGGGCGAGTCTTCAGGAGTGGTTGCTGTGTGGGCGTCCTACCACAGGAGATGTATACAAAAAGATGTATGAATGTAAGAAAATATTTAAATCACGTCTTAGGTGGTGTCAAAACCACCAAGACCAGATAAAAATGGACATACTTGCCTCCAAACATTGCAAAAAGGACTTCACAGGTTTCTGGAAAAATACTAACCATCTGAGGAGTCGGCCTGGTTTTCCTGTGACTGTGGATGGAACAAATGACCTCAAGGGTATAGCTGATAAATTTAAAAACAATTTTATTGTCAAATCACCTCTGGGACCGTCAATATCACAGGCTACAGGAGGGGTGAGCGGGGGAGTATCTAAATACCCGAATAAAAACTAAAGATGTGTTGAAAGCAATACAATCTATCTCAAAGGGTAAATCCCCCCGGGCATGATGGGTTGAGTGTGGAACATGTACAACACGCTGGGCCTCATATATCTAGGGTGTTGTCCATGTTGTACAATCTTTGCATATCTCACTCTTACCTGCCCGCGGATATGATGAAAACTGTTGTGGTACCAGTGGTGAAAAATAGGGCGGGTGATTTGTCAGACATATCTAATTATAGACCTATATCCCTGGCAACTATAATAGCAAAAGTGTTTGACAGCATTCTCAATACACATTTAAATCAACACATACAGTTAAAGGACAGTCAGTTTGGGTTTCGTTCGGGGCTGTCCACTGAATCTGCTATATTGTGTTTGAAGAGTGCTGTCAAATACTACACTACAAGAAAAACACCTGTTTACGCTTGTTTCCTTGACCTTTCGAAGGCATTCGACCTTGTGTCTTATGACATACTATGGAGGAAGATGAAGGAAGCCCATATACCGGATGAACTAGTACACATTTTCAAGTTTTGGTACGGGAACCAAAGTAACAGCGTGAAGTGGGCGGGCACTATGTCAGACCAATACAGGCTGGAGTGTGGTGTGAGGCAGGGTGGGTTGAGCTCTCCTTCTTTATTCAACCTGTACGTTAATGAACTGATTGAGGCGCTCAGCAAGCAACATGTCGGTTGTCATATAGATGGCGTTTGTTTCAATAACATTAGCTACGCGGACGACATGGTTCTGCTGAGCGCCTCGGTCTGTGGACTCAGAAAGCTTCTGAGAACGTGTGAGGATTATGCAGCTGGTCAGGGGCTGATCTATAATTGTAAAAAGAGCCAGTGTATGGTCTTTCAGAGTGGTTCTAATAAGGTGACGGAGATGCCTTCTATTCTACTTAATGGAATACCGTTAAAGAGAGTATATGAGTTTAAATACTTAGGCCATATTGTCACCCCCACACTGAGAGACGATGCTGACATTGAGCGGGAGCGGAGGGCGCTGTCGGTCAGAGCGAACATGGTGGTCCGGAGGTTTGCACGGTGTTCGGAGGGAGTGAAAGTAACTCTTTTCAAAGCTTATTGCACTTCCTTTTACAGCTGCAGCCTGTGGACTGACTATGCGCAAATATCGTACGGTGCCCTACGCGTCCAGTTTAATAACGCGTTCAGGATGTTGGTGGGGCTCCCCCGGTACTGTAGTGCATCGACGATGTTCGCGTGTGCACGTGTGGACTGTTTTCACACTACAATGCGCAAGCGAGCAGCGTCACTGGTACGGCGAGTGCGGGGGAGCCACAACAGCATGCTGACCGCGATAGCAAGTAGACTAGATTGCCCCTACATCAACCATTGTTGTGGCCTACACATTGTGCACAGTAGGAATTAATATGACATGTGAAGGGAAGATTAGGTATTTATTGTGAGTGTTTATTGTTTTTAATTACATTAGCATTGATTTATGATATATTGATTGAGATTTTGATTTGATTATTTTAATTTTTATTTTGATTTCAATTTAATTTAATGAACCTAATGTAATGTAATTTTTGTAATGTGACTGGTGATATAATTATACCCATATGAGTCTGTGTTACTTGATGAATAAATGATTTATATATTATATATATATTACATGCAACAAGATTCATATGATTTTATAACAATCAAAATGCTTAAACTTTTTTGTACAAATAAAAATTATAAACTAGCACACACCTTACTTAATAAGCGTATGCTATAACCCCTACACAATCCTACATTTGTCCGCGATAAAAACAGAGATACATTGCCACCTTCGAGGTCTAAACACAGAATGCCTTGTGTTACATGTTAAAAGGGTTTCTCGTTCTTTTTACGTAGCTGAACTTTGCGTTGGTATTCTATCAAAGCGTGATCCTTCCACTCATAGTATAGGATATCGACTGCAAAGGAATCCTAAAAGAAATACTATGCTTACACGGAATTAAGTTAATTACTGTTTTTACATAGGCAATTTAAAAGAAATTTACCGTAATACGCCCGATAAATGACGAGCGCTTGGCTACCACGGCTCTTATACATATCAAAAACTTGTAGTATCTCTATACGTTGTTTGTTATATACTCTTTGCCAATCTCGTACGACTGTTATGACGTGTGATCATTCAAATTAAATGGCTTAAAATTATTTAATTAGAATTTTAATTATTAATAAATAATAGGTTTATATATACAAATTTTGTGTCTTGTAAATACGATTTGTATCAAAATTTAAAGTTAGTTAATAAGCGATTGTATTTCACGGAGAGGAGTTGAAAGGTTGTTTCATAACTTTGTGCCGGATAACGAGAACTGTCATGAAAGGCAGCAGTGACGTATCTTGGAACTGCTAAGAGTCATGAGCGTCATGGACATTATGATTCATGTACAATACACATTTAAATAAAACTTATTTTTACGGATTTTATCACCTCTATTAACTTTTATATATTCCCGACGTTTTTAACATTTTACAGCACCAATGGTCATTTGGGTGACGAATGTGGTCTCTATTATATAAGTCAAACTAAATGATCGATTGAAATCCGCGTTAAGGAACATATAGCTGATGTGAAGAATGGACGCTCCGGGAAGTCTGCAGTCTGTGAACATGTACAGGATCGCCCCCGTCACTACATCAGATTTAATAGACATGAAATGTATCTTAAACAATCTTGCATATCCTTACAGCAAAACCGGACCTTGTGCTTCCTTGTGCTTTTATTCACGTTCTGCCATTTTTTTAAAGTCCATCTGCACGTAAGCACGCACTCATGCACGCACGCACGGCATTAAAGTTGTTAAAAGAGGGAAGGAAGGTTTTTTATTTTCATTTTTTTTATTTATTGTGGTAATATATTATAATTTTTTAATATCTTGTTATTAAACACGCAAGAATATAATATAATTGAACTCCGTAAAACTCGCAGAATGTTCTTTGTATCAAATGATCTGCCCTGTTAAGTTGTTTCTGCGTTTATTAGTTAAATCTTAAAATATTTAAAAGAAAATAAGTACTTAATTGAAAAATCGATATAATTTAAGAATCGATTTTTATTTTCGTAAGTCATGAAATTATTTTAAACTTTTCACTTAGTATAAGCTTTTAAGGGAAAAGAAATATTTCTTACCGTATTTTATAATATAAATATTAAAGAAGCTGGTATTATTTCCAAGTTTCTCTTTTCAGTACAAATTAATCAAATTATTTTATACTAACTTTCCGACGATCTCTAGCTCATTGTTTTAACCTTTCAACATAGCTCTAAATATATCTCAGTTTCTCGGCTGTTTGTTTTTTTTTTTTGTCTTTTTTTTTCTGTTTAGTACAAATTTTAACTTTCCGATGAGTTGCAGACTTAAAACTTTAAACATAACCCAAAACTGGTTAAAAAGCTTCGCAATATTGAATTATAATTTTGTTTTGTGTAATATATGTGATGTTGTACTCGAACCTTTGTTGTAATACCGGGTAATTTTGATAATAGCGACACATTTAGAACACGATAAAAGCTATCAAATGCACAGGAATATTATGGTACCTTAGTAATTGCATATCGCCAACTTTATTGCAAAAACGTCTTATAATCTCAGCAAATGTACTACTTAAGCTCTATTTTGCTTTTTTTAGCATGATAACCTCTCTTTTCGACTATTTATTGTTCACTATTGACAAAAGCAACAAAAAAGAGCGTCAACGTAAAACTTCATATGCGCATGAAGAAAAAATCTTTCACAAGATATAGTCTTCTTCTTCACCTGTAATAGTCCGTAATTCAAATAGTATATTTTTTTTATCAGTAAAGATTGTAATGAGTCAATAATTTATGAGTGATACTCCAGGAATAATATTCACCTGAGCGAAGTGCTATAAGAACTGGGTCTTGCCATTTAAAGGGTTCAATGATGAAATTTTAAAGAGGACTCAAATTTTTAGGTCAAGCCTGCTTTTAAGTAGAACAAAGGAAGAATTTAAATAAGCTTTCAATAGTATTGAATTAAGAATCACATAAATATTAATGCTTTATGCATTGCAGGCGAACGGATGTGGATAATATAGAAGAGAAAGATATTGAGAATAAACATCAATATTTAATATGACTTGACGAATTTTCGTACTATCCATGAATATTAATTGTTTATATTATTCAGAAAAAGCCTTTCCTTTTTTGTCTGTTTACGATAATATTAGACTTTCCGATCATTATTGACGAGGTCATTAACCCGCTGTCAATCAAACTGGCTTCAAACTTTGGAGACCTGTGATCTAGCTGGGCTGCGTTAGCCACTTGTACTGAGGTGGATTGTAAGTTTGTTTGTTACTTCGGATTCATGAAAAAAATGTTCTGTAAACATCATAATTAAAAAAATTAACTTCAGTAACTTTATATGTAAATCGTTTACAATATGCTACTTGCAACCACATGGATCTTCACAAATCGATTGTATTTTGGCTGAAACCGCAACATCAAGTCACACGTATTTTTAATTCTTATCATATTAGTATGAAAATTACATTCAATTTTATTTCTTTGTTTCAGAATTGAATGCTGTTAAAATAGTGAAAATAGTAGTGCCAGAAATAATACAGTACGGTGTGCAAGACGCTGTGATTCTAGACTGTGACTATACTTACGGTAACAACACATCGGGACTGGTAGTGAAGTGGTTTTTCAGAAACAAAGCTAGACCTGTCTACCAATGGATCGTGTCGCAAAAACCACAGGACATGGGGATATTGAGAGGTCGTGTTGACTTAGCCTACAGAGCATCAAGCGATCCATTAAAAATGTACAGAGCACTCCGCATAGTGAAGCCCAACACCGACGTCTCTGGTGATTACACGTGTGTCGTTTCAACATTCATGGAAGAGGATTCACGAACTAAGCAAATGATTGTTTTTGGTAAGTTATTTTTTAAAGCTCGTTAAAATATGTCAAATATTTGAACAAAACCACACAGATGATATAGCTATTTGCGTTGAAAATTGAGCTCAATAACTATTGAACTTAATGATTTCTTATATTTACACTGCACATTTAACTAAAACGAGATTTTACCGATTTTATTAACTAATTTATATTATCGACGTTTCGAGTACTTTATATCACCCATGATCATTCGGCGGAGTTCATTCAGATTTTCAACTACGTTGTATATATATATATATATATATATATATATATATATATATATATATATATATATATATATATATATATATATATATATATATTTATAATATTATCTTCACGCACAATCCCTAACGGGGTAGCCAGAGAATAGATCGCCAAGTGTTACGATCCTTACATACCTCTTTCGCTTCTTTCAGGTTCATTATCGTCTTCATACATGCACGTCTAGGTATCCGAGTACTCTTGACCTTCCCCTCTTCGAGTAATTTGCTCACATGGTCTTCGAAAGTTAGTCTCGGTCTACCTCGACACCTTTTAATATTTACTTTCGCGCTATATTTTTCTTCACCATCGGTCTTCACTCATTCGCTCAACGTGCCCAAACCATCGGAGTACGCTCCTATCAATTTTTGTGATAAGGTCATCTTTCAATCCTGCCATATTGCGAATCTCTTCGTTTCGCTTTCGGTCGGCTATGGTAACTCCGCACATTTTACGAAGAGATCGCATCTCCACTGCATTCAACTTGATTTTATGCTTCTTCTGGCATATCCAGGTTTCGCTACCATATAACAAAGTCGGTACCAACACTGCGTTATGTATTGCAAGGCGTGTACTCTTCACTACGCCTTGCCTTTTTACTAACGCATTCAGGGCACCATTGACTTTGTTCCCGGCAGTGACACGCCTGTCCACATCTAAATCACATCTTCCATCCCGGCTGAAAGCACTCCCCAAGTATACAATTTCATTTACCTGTTCTAGACATTCCTGATTGAAAATTAAAATTTAGTTACAATTTATACCGTTGAATGATTCTAATAACTGCAATTTCAGTTTGTTTTTAAAAGTTCTTTATTTTTATTGCCCCTCTTCACAAAAACATAATTTGGAAACCCTTGGTAATAGAAGCATTCACGTTTTTTCTTCGTAAAAGTTCATGGCATTGGATTCTACAAATTGTTTTCAAAAATATTTTCTACGGTTTCGGTGTTTTATGCACAAACACACGCTGCTCAATTTTATAATGTAATTGTAACACCACGAGACTTGGTAACATCTTAAAATTGAGAGGCGTTTGAATATTAGGCTACTACTACTAAACTTTTACCTATTGTACTTTTAATGCATAATAAAAATTAAACATTTTCATGTCATGTCAACGACATCTGCAACCAATTTCATACACAGGATGCTACAGATGCGTTATCACCTCTGAGGACAGAGATGAAGTTCCTCACAGACTGTAATTGTACTGACTCTGTGTACCATTCAGAGGAGCTATCCGGACTTTAGTTGACGCAATAAATAACTAAGGTCACCCCTACTCGTAGCTGTTTTAAACGAAGATGTCATGTGGTGGTGGTGTAAGATAATTCATTACCCAATTTCCTGTTGTTCGTAAAAGGCCATGAGAAATTCAATAATGTATAACAATCTCGCTTACCACAAACGTTAAGTCCTCAGGATGAAGACCGCATTAAGGCATCCCGTGCCACAATAGCTATTTCATGTATACTTTACGGATTGATAAAGAAGAATAATTCTGAACAATCCATGTAGCAGTGGTGTAAGAATATTTCGTGAGTGTCAACAGAGGGAATAAAACAAAAGATTGGCATAAGCGTCCTAATAAAAATTATAATTTTTTTATAGTATAAGGGTGACAAACGAGCACACAGTCCACCTGCTGGTAAGTGGTTGCTGTGGCCCATAAACATCTACATCTATCCTCGATTAAGAATCAAAATGCAGATGCTTTGTCACCCGTGAGGCCTAAGATGGAATGCTTCGTTTCCAGTAAAAAGAGTCTCCGGTTCTCTACACTCACCATACTAAACACAGCGCCATTAAGGTATTCTGTGAGAGCGTGGTCTAACCCCGGCCGAGCCGACCCATTCGTGCTGCAACCACAATAGAGCTGCAGCATGGCTCTACCACGTAACACATAAACAATAAAATCTTTAAAAATATAGTGCTAGCGTTAGCCCACTCATCTGATAAGCGTGGGAAATATGGAAAAATGTTTTGGCAATCCATGGGGAGGCTCTATGTTCAGCAGTGCACGTTCATGCTTTAAATGGATGGATGACAACTTCTGAATACTTTCGAAAGCTGTACACTAAAGTAAAGTTTTGGAATAAAATTTCTTTGAAATATTTTTAAACAGTTGGCTTATAAGTTTAAAGCACAATTGTACAAAACATTGTTACAAATAGCGAGTGGAATTTGGCAAGCACTGCACTTTTAAACTCATTCAAGTAAAGCTTAAGCTTTTTCTTGAAATTATTAACAGAAGCAGCAGATTTAGAGTACGAAACAGCTAAACTAGCTGTAACATAAGGCGTTTCTCTAAGCTATACATTTTCAGTGTCTCTTCCATTTTAGATGTTATTTGTACATTTATTTTATTTTATTATATTTCATGTATAAAAATCAAACTTTTTCGTGCATCAAGTATAATATCTCATTCATCTTAAATAAAATACAGATGGACTGGAGCAGTGTGGCAGATAAATTGCTCATTATTTCGCAGATATGAAAGAGCTATGAAGCAACGTCTCACGCTGATCAAACCTGTGGACGGAGGACGGAGGGACATTTATTAGGTTGTAACTACTTTTTTTCTATACAATGTATATAATAAGTAGTCCCCAATAACATAAAAATAAATACACTGAATATGAAATAGAGGTTAACTTAAACCACAGGCGCATATTTATAAAAACGGTGCTGGCAGAAGAATTTTGCATTACTTAAAAATATAGTTCACATCATTTTAGTTTATCCTGATATTTATAATTTTTTTTTAAATCTCCTGACTGTAGTTTTTTTACTTATTGCTAAGCAACTGCACAACGGAGCCCTTGAATTCTGATAAATTAATTAATAAATATACCTGATAGAATAACAAAAATATTCAGATTATCATTTTCGTATGTGGGATTCAAAAAAATTCATCGTCATGTCGCGATTTCAGAAGAGACTGCGTAACTTTTCGTTCCCGTAATTAGAGACAAAATCAAAAATAAAATATAAAAATAAATTTTGAATCTTCATAGTTACAGCAAACGACGGTGTTACGAATAGATATTTTGTTTCTATCTCAGGAGTATTAAAATTCTCCAAACGCTTTCTGCTCTTTGCAATTTCAATCGCAATATATTGAATTACAAACAAAATAAAACAAGCTTAAAACAACTACACGAACAATAACCAGGAAAACATAAGCTCGGACATTAACCGACACTTGATAATTGATAATGAGGTTTTTGCAAGAAATAGAAAAGCTTTACAAGAAATAGAAATAGTTTATTCTATTCTAACGTTTGATTATGCAATATTTTTGTTTAACCTTACAGAAGTTAGAGTAGATATAGTTCAATAAATCGGTTTGATATCTATTTATGGGATAAATCACATTTTTTTAAATATAGAATAAGGGTGACAACCGAGCACACAGTCCACCTGATGGTAAGTGCATACTGTGGCCTATAGACATCTACATTTATTCTCGATTATGAATCAAAACACAGATGCATTGTCACCCACGAGTACTTAGATGGAATGCCTCGTTTTCAGTAAAAAAGGGTCTCCGGATCTCTACACTCACCATACGAAACACAGCAATATTAAGCTGCTATTTTACGCTGGTATTCTGTGAGAGCGTGGTCCTTCCCCGATCGAGCCAACCCATTCGTGCTACAATCATAATATAGCTGCAGCGTGGCTTTACCACGTATAAAAATATAATATAATATATAATAAAAATTATTCGATATTTAATCAACCAGATATTTTATTCTTTAGATATTTTATAAATTCTATGCATCCGAAGACGGAAAATACTTCCGCAAATACCACCAAACTATCCGAAGAGGAACATCAAAGAGGTTTCCGATGTGAACGGAAGTGGGTGTCCGTGCGGTTGTCAATTAGCCTGTTTGTATCAAGACTGTCCTGTGGAGAACTATTTTGAAAATAATCGTTTAAAGGGGACGATATTAAATTACTGATCACTAATCAGTATACGATATATTTTTATATAGTTATAGATTATGGTTAGTATCTACAGTATATAATATACATAAAACAAATTATATAATATAAAAAATGTAACGAATAAACGGAATCTAGAAACGGTTTGTTTTCTGCCTAGTAGCCTGTCTGGACCCTCTTACCTGTTTATGTCGCTGAAGCGGTCCGGTTCAATGTTAAGGACTTTATTGGAATCAGATTTATTTTAGGCTACAATCGAGTATAACCAATAAACCAATTTTTCTCAAGTAATATAAAATTTAATATAGCTCGTATCAACTAAGCCTGCCTTAATTAAACTGACAATCTTAAATAAATGCTTTATGACGATAATCGATTAAAAGGCTCAAAATATAGTTACGTAAAGAGTTAGGACTTGAGGATCTAGGATATGGCATTTTAATTATATATAAATGATGATAACACATAAAGCCTTAATATACGAAATTAGCTTCTTATATGTTGTGTTTACAAAATGTAAGCATAGATAATCTAAACTAAACAACCTGAACAAGCTATTAAATAGTTCTTCAAATGTTTTCTCTGATTTCATTGTGTATGATTCTACTTGTTATGCTGACCTAAGTCTAACGATTTAGTTCAGCAGAGTGTTAAATTATGTTTTTTTTAAACGTTCCCCCGTAACGTTATACCAGGATTTTTCCTGTGTCACGGAGGCAGTTTACATAAATACATTGCACAAGGACAAACAAACATTCAGAACCAAAACAATTATTTGTAACCAATACAAACACTTATTCCGACAGGGATTCGAACCCACGCTCCTCAGGGCCGCGGATTTTTATTATACTCTCGAATTCGAATTCGATTTTTTATAATTCTCATTTGGAAGATACTCAGCTCATCTTCTGTTTCTGTTTCCATCTGTTGCCTTGTACGACGCACATGAGATTATATGGGATAATGAGTGAGTTCGTGCAAAATCGATTGAGGAAAACGGACATTGACATTTCGGTCGTTTAACTAGGAGCTACAAACCTTCAATATATAGGCGCTTTAGACTTTTTTTTGACTGCCTCGTTGGTCTAGTGGTTGTAAAACAATGATAGATTTTTTATTTTGTAGAACATTGTAGAACAATGAGGTTTTGGGTTCGAATCCCGGGTAAGGCCAAAAAATTAATTATTGAGTTTTTCCGTCAAGAAATTCTCAGTAGTTGCCCGGAGTCAGGAAGTTGGCGGTGTCTCACCCCCGTGTCTCGGAAAGCATTACGTGCCGTTGGTCCTGCGCCTGATCTCTCTCCGTTCGCGTCGGTTTACCGTCCCATCGGATTATGAGAGTGAGGGAATAGAGAGTGCACCTGTGCTTGCGCGCATACACTTGGGCACTATAATCTTGTCCTGCGCCGATGGCTAGCCTCTGTTGAGGCAGGCCGCCGTGGCCGAAATTCGGTCCGGAGGACATTATATAGGCACTTTTTATGTGTAGTACTTTCTTTATTTATAATGATTATTTTTATTATTTTTATAATGATTTATATAATATATATTTATTAACTATTATTAATAATTTATGTAAAAGATTGCTGTAGAAGAAAAATCATCTATTGTTATAAAGTAGTTTATTCATTTAACAACAAAAAGCATTAATTTATAACACATATAAAGATTCGAGTGATAACGACACCGAATAAGTACGTACTTATTCAAAAGATAAATCTTTATTTTCAATATTATATAAGAACTTTATTTTTATTCGGTACATGCGGACCGGCCCAAAAAATGTAACGCGTCTCTGGCTGCCATTGTCACGTTTTGTTTATTTTATAGGAATGAATTTGCAAAAGTTCAGTATGGTGATTATATTGCTTCAAATATTTTTTTAATATGAAATCTTTATTTAATGAATTGCTGCGTTACTTACCATAAATTGAAATATAAAATATAACACATTTTTCGCGATGTACCGTAAGATTTTACGATGTTTATAGGAACCACAGACAATATTATTTAAGAAACAAAAAAAAACAAAACATATGTGCTGACCTAGAAGTGTGAATAATATCTATATTTAAATATTGTTATCACATCTAAATTGAGATTTTGTATGTTACGCCTTTTGACACTCCGCTCATATCTAAGGTCATCGTCCGTTTTTCTCAATCGATTTAGCACGAATACTTTAGTTTTATTTATACGTGATAGAGCCACGCTGCATCTACATTATACTCGAAACAAGAATGGGTCTTCGTGACCAGGAAAGTACCCCGCTCTCACATAATACCAGCGTAAAATAGCAGCACAATGCTGCTGTGTTTCGTATGGTGAGTGTAGATAACCAGAGATCCCTTTTACTGGATACGAGTTTTTCCGTCTTAGTCCTCAGGGGTGAAAACTCATCTGTATTTTAAATCTTATTCAGGGATAGATGAAGATGTCTACGGACGACATCATCCACTTACCATCAGGTGGACTTTGTGCCCGCTTGTCACCCTTATTCTAAAAAAATAATTCAAACATAATTGTAATATTTGAAAAATAATTACGTATTTTCGCCAGCTGGTGCATTCTTGAAAGGAAAAATACCTAGTAGCGGTCTTACAAAAACAGCTAATGTGATAAAAGTGAAGAGAAACTATAAACTACAAAAATAACTTTCATCAAAGAGCGAGTATAATATGAAGAAAAAAATAGCTTCGAGAAACTTAATATTACGCGAGAGAAGTTCGCCATCTTAGCACGCGCCTGTTTTTACAGTTTATTAACCTTCACCTGCCATCTTACAAAATGTCCTTAGACGTGTCATGTTTCAGTACCGGAGAGCAACTTCCGCCTCATCAAGAACAAGACTGACGATGATACTGTGAACGTCATATGTGCTGCGGACGGAGCGTTTCCTGCGCCAAACCTCACGCTAGCCACACCAAAAAGGTACGTTACTTTTATATTATTTTGTAGTGTAGTTTGAACATAACAACACCATATTTCCCAATATAAGATTATTAACATTTTTAAAGTATTTTATTATTCTTTAAGTATTTGTAAATACGTACACGCTTAACGCTGTTTTGGGAGTTAACACATCATTTTGGTTGCTCTTAAACCAATAAATTATTTCTAGTAGAGACAGGCAAATAATTACTCTTTCAAAAATATGTAATGTTTCGAAAAGTATTTTTATCAAAAAAGAAACTAAATTACAATAACAATTATGATTGTAATTTAAACGTATGGAACTAATTACTTCTAATTCTAACGTGTCGAGGTTGTTTAAAATCGAAGACTTGTGCTCTACACATAAAATGGCTTACAAGGCAATTGCAACCTTATTGCCAACAATCGGTCAACAATCAACATCGTTACACTCGTGCTTGCGTGATGTTACTTACTTTGTTGCATTGATTACGGACGTAGCCACTGTATAGATTCAGATGCGGTGTCAAGTCTTAAATACAAGTGGAAAAAATAGAAATACCTTGAAATTTAATAAGTTGTCAGCAAAATATTACTCGTTAAATATAACAAAAATACCTAAATATGCGTGTGAAAATACATAATGAATTACCTAAATAATTTAAATAGTTAAGGCGATACCTCCAGCGAACGACCTTGAGCGTTTCGTCTGTCGACGCTCGCTACAATATATCGCGTAAGAAATCGCCAAAAGACGCCACCTACTGCTACGAACGTAGTATTATTTTTTCAATGTCAATGAACTATTCTATGGAAATAGACACGGCGTACAATAATAAATGTATTTTAATTTTCTTTATTCGGTATATTAGTTGCATTATATTAGAATTATGTATTCTAATATATTATCTAATTAATAAAAATGACTATTTTGATTATTTTTAACTATATACTATACTGCTAATATTGAATTAGCTTTTTATAGTGTAAATTATAATATTTGTCGAAATATTAATTATGGATTCGAACTTTACATGCTAATGGTGCTTCATTTTTGTTATTTTCATTTACTTACATATTGAAAATATACTTGAATAGTAGGTATTATTGTTTTATTTAGCTACTGAATTTTAGGATATGTTTTACCTTGGGGTCAAATATAATTTTGAGGAGCAATAGTTATTACCTACTAATCTTTTATCTGCTATTCCTTATTTAGGAACAATATTAGTAAATTGAGTTTGAGAGAGATTTACTGTTTATAATGCTACATTTATTATTTTAATATTTACCTAATTAATAAGGTAATTATTAAAATAATAAATATAGCATTAGTAACTAAATAGATATTTTTTTAAAATTTTTAAAATTTAAATTTTCGTATTTTTAAAAATTACTAAAAAAAAGGGTTTGAAATAATAGATTTTCTCACAAAAGAAGGGAACTTGAAAAAAAAGCCACGGCTATAACGACCGTTACTGTTTTGTCGAAATTTACCTTCTTATATTGTAGCAGTTTTTTTTATTGTCTGAAAACATGGACAAAAGGACATTTTCTAAAAATAAATCCAAGCGTTCGTCGCTAAAATCGTTGGAGTCGTATAATTTTCTCATCTGGTTCGGTTATATAAATATTTAAATATATAAAAATTATAAATTAAAATGAAAAGATAAATATACATAAATATCAATAAAATAAATACAAAATAATATTATATTATTACTGTTATTATTATTATAAGTTGTGGTTCGGTGAAGCTGCAACCTAATGGACCATGATCTGAAATTTTTATGAAAAGAAGTGGCTGATGTCAATTATTATTATTCTTATTATTTTTTCATTACTGCCTTTTTCAACCTCACAAGATATTTGTAACTGCAAAAAAGAAAACTACGTATAAGTAAGTAAATCAGTAATATAGTGTTATGTATGATTCAGACTAAATAAAGGTTCCTAAAAATAGACGTAGATAAAGAAATTGCATAAAAAATTACTCAAATAAAAATGCAATAAACTTGTTAATTTTATAGGTACTTAGTAAAATATTAAAATAATAAGTTTTTTAGGATATTTATGTAAAACATAAAGGTTATATTATGTTCTAACTACGTTCACGCTTGCGCATATAAAACCGCGGAATTTCACTAGTTTTATTATCAAAATAATTGACAACCCTACCCTAAGTTTGCCTTGATTTTACCAACTCAAACTCGTTTTAGGAGATCAAAACACAGAGAGAAAGATAGGAGACCATTTTTTATTTAATATGGTTGGATCTTTATTTATTTCTACATTTTTTGTATTTATTTTATTTTATTGATATTTATGTATATTTATCTTTTCATTTTAATTTATATTTATAAAAACCAACCAGATGAGAAAACTATACAGATACCCCAACAATAATAATATAATAATAATAATAATAATCTATAAATTAATATATTTTATATAAGGCGTAGGGAATTGACGACCCCATCGCCCGCTGACGTAACAGTTAAGTGACAAAACTGCTACGTCAACGCAGTCAGTCAGCGCCTTGCGAGAGGTGTGAGCGCCGTGCCGCGGCAGAATTTAGGGTGCAGAGGCCCGTTTGTGCTTATGGCTACACACGAAACGGTGCCGGGGCCTGGGCGTCTCCCGTTAATGGACGCCCAAATAATGGATGATGGATAAAAAGATAGTGCGCAAAGGGCCGCTGCCTGGGGGTCGCCGGGGCGCGTCTGGAGCTGGCGCTGGACGCGGCAGCATGCGGGCCGCCAGCCGAGCGCGAGGAGCTGCACGGTCATCTACCAGCCCTCCGCATCCATCATCCCCACCAGAAGGCTTGGTGTCGGCTGGGTCTTCTCGGACTCAGCAAGCGGCACCCGCCGCTGGTGGAGCACGTCGCATGCGTTGGTCACAAGAAATGAATGCAAACGCACTGCGGGCGTACTTTAGGGCAAAAGGGGAAGAAACTGGATGTTTGGCGTATCGGGCTAGGATGCATCGTCTTTTTGCTGAGCTGGAGCCATCTTTAATCGTCACAGAGCAAAACCTGGCAGACCGAGTTCGGTATATCTTGCGCTCAAATATATTTGATGTCGCCGAACTCGAACGGCTACGACGTGAGGCTGTTCCCTCGTCGGATGAGAATGCTACGGCTGAGGATGCGGCGCCACAAATGGTAGAGCAACCCGCAAACGTGGATGCCGCCGTGAATACCCCAGTTGTGGTTGATTCAAACGATGATGGAACAGTCGCCCAGGAACTGGAATTAGAGCATATGAGGAGTATATTGGAAGAGGCGATTGTGGAAACGCGCAGTACGCCTCTCGAAAATCGACCGCGACTTCCCCGCATAGCCCTAAGCAAGCGGAATCGGGCTGTCGTGAGGGCTCTGAACCCAATGCTGGTTACCTATTTGGAAGCCAGCCGGGACCTTTGCGAGACGGACTCAATTCTTTTTGGCGCCGCGCTGGCAGTCTGCCGTATCATAGGCGCCAAGGTTTCCACGGCTGGACGCGCTACTGGCCATAGTAGCGCTATCCCAGCATGGAGAAGAAGAATTGAGGAACGTATCGCAAAGGCTAAAGCTCTCACCGGCAGACTGATATGCTTCAGATCAGGCAACAACAGGCCAAGAATTGTGCGCACCGTCAGGATGGCGTTTGCTGGGACAAATGTCAGTTTGTCCCAGCCGGATATAACGCAAAAACTGACGGAGCGCATAGATGATCTGAAGCAGAGAATCGCTGCTTGGGGAAAGCGGATTCGGCGATATACCGAGAGGTCGACACGGTTCAACCAGAATCGTCTCTTCCAGAGTGATCAGAAGAGGCTCTATGAATCATTGGAGCGACCAATGGTAAGTGGAACGGGTCCAGCACCGAATCAGGCCGACACTGTAGCATTCTGGCGCGGCCTGTGGTCAGAGCCCGTAAACCACAGCGAGGGCCCTTGGACGGAAGTTGTGGCGAGTCAGTGTGCGGGTATTACGCCCATGGACCCCGTCATCATAACGCCGGATGACGTAGCTGAGGCGGTTCCGTAGGGCCCCGAACTGGAAAAGTCCGGGGCTTGACGGGCTGCATCACTACTGGCTGAAGGGGTTCATGGTGTGTCACTCTGTGCTCGCCCGACAGTTTCAAGAGGCTCTCAACCAGAAGTCGCTCCCAAGCCTCTTCACTACTGGGATCACTCATTTAGTTCCTAAAGACCAGGGTACCACAGACCCGAGCAAATACCGCCCCATCACGTGTCTACCGACCATATACAAGACACTAACATCCATTTTGAGCGCGAGAATCACTTGTCACCTGGACTCAAATCAGGTGATGTCGCGCGCTCAAAATGGATGTCGGGGCGGTGGTCGTGGAACCAAGGAACCACTCCTCATTGACGCGGTCATTGGCAAAGTGGTGAAACGCAACCGTCGGAACTTCTCCGCCGCCTGGATAGACTACAGAAAGGCATTCGACTCGGTGCCCCATACATGGCTAAAGAGAGTCCTCGAGCTGTACAAGATAGACTGTACAGTTAGAGACTTCCTCGAGCAGTGTATGGGGCAGTGGAGTACGATCCTTTGTCATCTAGGCGAGCGGATGATGGCTGCGGAGAACCACATAAGGATAAGAAGGGGTATCTTCCAGGGCGATTGTCTGAGTCCAATCTGGTTCTGCCTCTCTCTGAACCCTCTCAGTACCTTACTGGAGGGCTCCGGGAGGGGATTTCAGCTACGGAAAGGAGGGACAAAAGTGACCCACCTTTTTCTATATGGATGACCTCAAGTTATTCGCCTCCAGTCGCTCCCATCTTGTGGAATTGCTAAACATCACTTGTGAATTTAGCAATTCCATTGGAATGGAGCTGGGGACGGATAAGTGTGCGGTCCTCCATGTTGAAAGGGGAAGGGTTGCTAACTCTGAGGGCGTAGACTTATCTATGCCCGTCAACTTAAGGACCCTTTCCGAGGCTGAAACATACCGATACCTGGGTATGTCACAAAACATCGGTATCGATGAGACTGGTATGAAACAGTCAGTTTGCGACGTGTTTTATGCACGCTTGACCAAAGTGCTTAACAGCCTTTTTGTCCGGTGTGAATAAGGCACACGCATATAACGGCTGGGTCATGCCTGTCCTCATGTATACCTTTGGCATACTCAGGTGGACTCAGACTGAACTTAACGCCCTGGATAGAAAAGTCCGCACTACAATGACGTCCCATAGGATGCATCATCCGAGATCGTCGGTAATGAGGCTGTACTTGTCGCGGAAGCATGGTGGTCGTGGCTTCTTGAGCGCGCTCACCATGCATAATCGCGAAGTGTGCAGCCTCCGTGATTACTTCCTGGCGAGATCGGATGATCCATTCTATAAGGACGTCATTTCTTGTGATAAAGGACTTACCCCTCTATCCTTAGCCAACGAGCAATGGCAAGACCCGGCAGTGCAGAGCATTTCCGACCGGGAGACCGTATGGAAGGAGAAGGAGCTCCACGGGAGGTTCTACAAGGCTCTACATGAGCCTTTCGTAGACACAGTAGCCTCCCTCCACTGGCTACGCTTTGGTGATCTCTTCGGGGAAACCGAGGGTTTTGTCTGTGCAATACAGGATCAGGTTATTAAGACCAACAACTATCGGAGATACATCCTAAAGGATGGCACCGTCGACATCTGTCGAGCTTGTCGCCATCCCGGTGAGTCACTTAGGCATGTTATCTCCGGTTGTTCGGCGCTTTCTAACTCTGAGTACTTGCACAGGCACAACCTAGTAGCCAGAATTCTACACCAGGAGCTCGCTCTGAAATACGGTCTCGTGGATCGGAAATTGCCGTATTACAAGTACTTGCCGGAAGCCGTGCTCGAAAATGATCGCGCCAGGCTCTATTGGGACCGGGCCATCATCACAGACAGGACTATTGTTGCGAATAAGCCTGATATTGTGCTGATGGACCGGGCACAGTCAAGGATATTTTTGGTCGACATTACCATTCCGTATGACGAGAACCTCGTGAAAGCCGAAACAGACAAGCAAACAAAATATCTGGACCTGGCTCACGAGGTGACCGACATGTGGGGTGGTCTGCCGACCGAAATTATTCCTGTAGTCGTCTCTGCAAACGGGCTAATCCCAGTCAGCCTCTCGGGTCATCTGAGGCGGCTGGGACTACGTGGCGGACCGCTCCAGGTTCAAATGCAGAAGGCGGTGCTCCTCGATACCGCCCGCATCGTCCGCCGGTTTCTTTCCCTTTCCCCCTAACCCTCGGCCGTTTGGTCTCCCCTGCCGAGGGCCTCCATCTGGTTGGGCTTTTATTTATTTATGTACTTTTATATTTATTTTATGTTATTGATATTTATGTATATTTGTCTTTTCATTTTCATTTATAATTATATATTTATAGCACCCAACCAGGTGAGAAAACTATATAGATACCCCATAATAATAATATTATATTATTTATATATATATTTATCTATCCTTGGCCAATGAGCAATGGCAGGACCCAGCAGTGCTTAGCATTTCCGACCGGGAGACCGTATAGAAGGAGAAGGAGCTCCACGGGAGGTACTACAGGACTCTACATGGGCCCTTCGTAGATACAGTCGCCTCCCTCAACTGGCTACGTTTCGGTGACCTCTTCGGGAAACCGAGGGTTTGGTCTGTGCAATACAGGATCAGGTTATTAAGACCAACAACTATCGGAGATACATCCTAAAGGATGGCACCGTCGACGTCTGTCGAGCTTGTCGCCATCCCGGAGAGTCACTTCGACATGTCATCTCCGGTTGTTCGGCGCTTTCTAACTCTGAGTACTTGCACAGGCACAACCTAGTAGCCAGAATTCTACACCAGGGAGCTCGCTCTGAAATACGGTCTCGTGGACCGGAAATTGCCGTATTACAAGTACTTGCCGGAAGCCGTGCTCGAAAATGACCGTGCCAGGCTCTCTGGGACCGGGCCATCATCACAGACAGGACTATTCTTGCAAATAAGCCTGATATTGTGCTGATGGACCGGGCACAGTCAAGGATTTTTGGTCGACATTACCATTCCGTATGACGAGAACCTCGTGAAAGCTGAAACAGATAAGCAAACAAAATATCTGGACCTGGCTCACGAGGTGACCGTACATGGGGGTGGTCTGCCGACCGAAATTATTCCTGTAGTCGTCTCTGCAAACGGGCTAATCCCAGCAGCCTCTCGGGTCATCTGAGACGACTGGGACTCCGTGACGGACCACTCCGGGCTCAAATGCAGAAGGCAGTGGTTCACGATACCGCCCGCATCGTCCGGTCGGTTTCTTTCCCTTTCCCCCTAACCCTCGGCCGTTTGGTCTCCTCGCCGAGGGCTTTCATCTGGTTGGATCTTTATTTATTTGTGTATTTTTTGTATTTATTTTTATTTTATTGATATTTATGTATATTTATCTTTTCATTTTAATTTATTATTATATATTTATAGAAACCAACCAGATGAGAAAACTATACAGATACCCCAAAAATAATATTCCACAACCATC